TAAAAAAAAATGTGTGCAGACTTGCAGTAGAACGTGTACGAAACTATATATATAAAAAGGATTGAGAATAAGTTATACTGAAGTTGTAGGACGCAAATCTCGTATATCTATTGATGTGGGGAAGCGTACGCGAATAAGAAGGATAAACGAGATATTCTCTCGTAAAACACACAAAACTCACAATATATGATTCAATCTCAAAATTCACCAAATAACAATGAAGCAGGAGAGTCTTTTATATAAGACTTTCAAAACTAATAACCATAACTTGTTCTCTAAGGTAACTACTAATTATTAAATAATAATAATAATAATAATAATAATAATAATAATAATAATAATAATAATAATTATTCTACACCATTCTCCCCCGGTTCGGAAGGTTTCGCCCTCGAAGCCGACGCGCTCCCGTGGCCGTCGTTTTCCCCTGTCGAACACGAAGGTTAAATGTCGCACCTCCATGGTATCACCCCCTTGAAATTCTAGAAAGACATATATGCAGCAGCCACACACACAGAATTTTGAACTCACAGTGGTAACCAAAAAACAACATTTGTTTGCAAGGCCGCAACAAATTCCCGTGAGAGAAAAGCTCGGGCCTGTGCAACAAAAGAACTACCAATTCTTCTAACAACTGAATTTCGATACTCGAAACATGATGGAATTCCTCCGGCTCCGGAGGCTCCTCATCGAAAATCGACAGACCGTCGTAGAGACAGTCCACTTCGCCGATAAAATGCTCCTCCACCTCCTCGGGTCCTTCATCAAACACCGGCAGACCATCGTACAATGGCCCGTCAACTTGCTCTTCGTCAAATTCGGGGATGTCAACGCGAAACGAGCCCTCCCATCGACCATATTCTCGATCACATTCCCAATCGCGTCGGGCACGATCTCCGCCGGCGACGGCAGCCTCCTCGAGCATGCCTCTATCGTCGCGTTGATCGTCGCCATCCACGAAGACCGGGTCCCGTCGCCGCATGTCACGGCCGCCGTATGCAGCAAAGGGGTCAGCCTCAACGTGCGGGGATGGAAATCGTCGAAGGGATTCACCTCCGAGACTGTCTCCTCGCCGTCTTCATCGCCGGACGGTGGTTGTGGAGATCCCCGACGGGGCGCCCCGCTTGGACCACGGCCTCCACATCCTCTGCAAATTCCCCCGCACACGCCCGGTTGTCGGCGTCACGGTACGTTTGCTTGTCCCGATCCATGGTACAGATAGTTAGACATATGTCTCCGATCTCCGCAGACAGATCTGCAATCTGACCACCCATCATCTCGAGCTTGCGGCCAAACCACTCGGTCCGGCGGCTCAAGTTGTATATGGCGGCGACACGCCTGTCGTTTGCAGCATCTTGTCTTCGCATCTTGTCTTCGCGACAACATCGTGAATCGTGTTGACTTCTGATACCAACTGATGTAGGGAAGCGTACAAATAGGAAGGATAAACGAGATACCCTCTAGTAAAACACACAAAACTCACAATATATGATTCAATCTCAAAATTCACCAAATAACAATGAAGTAGGAGAGTCTTTTATATAAGACTCTCAAAATTAATAACCCTAACTTGTTCTCTAAGGTAACTACTAATTATTAAATTATTATAATAATAATAATAATTATTATTATTATTATTATTATTCTACACCATCTATGCTCCAAGCACAATCAAAGATGTTATATATATTGTACCAAAAAAAAGATGTTATATATAAAAGCTCCAAGCACAGTCAAAAAGTAACTTTGCCGTGACATTATTGTAATTATGTTAACTTTTCACGCAAGGATATTATAGTCATTGCAGATACACTATTACGTAGGATATTTTTGTTATAGTTGTTTACATCGGATACCATACCCTTGCTATGTTCTGCAGCGCATGCATTTTACTTATCATTATTGTTCATTTACCTTACAAAGCCATGACCAACCTATTCATTCGCAAAAAGAACTATCTCATACTCATGTGCCTCTAAAATTAATCAAACCTTTACATTTTGCTTGAGTACAAAACATAAGGAACAATTTTGCCAATTTATTAATCCTTACCTACATACAATAATCCAATGCTATCATCCTATGTAAACAAGTCCAACCAGGTGAGATCTTCATCACCAATGTATCCATAAACTGCAAGGGAAACTTCCAAAAACAAACACAAGTAGAATATGTGGAGAATATGAAAAGATAAAATTTCATATAACTAAGCTACCTCACAACATCGAAGAGCAAAAGAGTTTTTAATCTATATTGTTTTCTTACCCAATAACTAGTCGAAGTTACAAAGACGTTCAGCAAGAACATAACGCATCACCAAACTAGAAGAGCAAGCAGAGTTTTCTTATTTATTGCACAAACAGGAAAGAAGAAAATATATTTAAACTCATTGTTACTAAAAAGACAGGAAAATTGAAAATTTCGACACACATTCATTCACATATAAGCAACTCAGGAGAATTGAAATTTCGACATAGATTCATTCACATATTTCGGCATACATTAAATTAAACTCTATCTTACCCAAAGATAAAAAGTTATTTCTTGGGGTGAACAGCTTCAAAAACAGCTTCAATCTCTTCCTTCACACGCTCAAAAACACTCGGCCCTTTGACCTCATCGATTGGTGTGCTCTCATCAATGTCGTCACTTGTCCCGTGTGTTTCTTTGTGATGATGTGGCGACTTACCGCCATGAATTACTGAGTCTATCCCCTCTTTTGCTTGCTCGATCACGTTTGGTGTTTTTTCTTGTTTGTCTAAAGCATTTGGAAGAATATAACGTGAGACGATTACACACGAACAATGATACATTGAAAATAAAAATGCAAAAAAGATACAAACTAGTACTAATAATAATACCCATTTGATCTACCAAATAGGCAAATACTATCATTTGACCCAAACCATACCCAAGATTTGAATTTCATAAATTGACAGGTAACACAAAAATTAGCCGTGAATTCCTTATATATTCGTATAATTCACACAACATTTCAAATGATCATTAGTATTCAATTTCTTTTCTGCCCCTCTCTTTCAAAAATTCAAACTTTGATTATCATTCTAGGTTAGAAAGCAGAAATTATGTGATTTTGTAGCTGAGAAACAGAAATTCCAAGTCAACATGGGTAAATTTAAATCAGAAACACCAGGGAAAGGTAGCAATTCCACACCTTATGAATATAACTAAAAAATGCACAAAATTCAGACATATTTTAAAAATGCTGAATGCATAAATTAACAAAAATTGTGAAACTGAATTAGGCACCAGAGTGAGAACGTGGGCTGTCGACCCCCTTTGGTTCAGCCATCAGAAATCGCTGGTCTTCTTCGCTTTCGTCTCAATTTCAATCTCTGTTTTTCAGGTTCCGTTGATTGACATCCGCGTTGTAATAAAGAGGTAATAGGCCAGTTGCAGTAATTTACAAGTCCATTGGGCTCATGCCTCATAGTAAAGATGAGGCCCACTCTATTAGTAAAGTCCAGATCCAAATTGTGAATCCGGACTGCCTGAACCGGGCCGGTGGTTTGACTAGCCAGTTTCTGGTCACATATATATACTTCTCGAACCGCCCGGCGGTTCCAAACAGAAATCGGAATCGGCAGTTCTACAATTTTTTATTTTATTTTATTTTTTAATTAATTTTAATTTTTTTTAAATGGACCTTGCCGACCCGAAACCGACGGTTAATCAAATCGGCCCGTGCATATGTTCGGGCCGGTTCAGGGCCCTACAACCCTTGGCCCGGAATTGGATTTGACCATGTCTAACTGAAACCAACGTACTTTCTCCACAAATAAAGATAAGAAAATCCCCCTATATATGATATTTACATACAAATTACTTACATGTACTTATAAAATTGTCGGTTATCATAGTCTTTTATAACTTCTTAATAATTCATAATTTGCACATTTCTTAATAATTGACCAACGTTTAACCCATAATATTTATCTTCTTTTATTATAATAATAAGTGCATAAAATGTTAAAATATTTGATAATTAAATTTTAATTTTTAGTAACTTTAATCCTTGTGCAACACAAAATTTTCATGGTTAAATATTTTATTTTTATTTTTATATTTTTTATTTATATTTATTTACTTAAGTTATTTTTTCAACATATATAATGAGTTAATTAGTATCCATTTGAATATTTAGACATATTATATATTTTCATGATTACCAAGTGCTATAATTTAAATTATAACACTTGATTATTTTATTACTTTTTTTCATTTATAAAATAGTATCATATTATATTTTTCTTAAACCTTTAATAGTTTTTTAATGTACATAGATATTTCTAAGGTGTACTTTATAATTTTGAATTGTACCCGACCATCATATATTAATTTTATTAATGTATTATTTTAATTTTCAATAGTACTCTTATAACAAATGATATATTCAATGGAGATTTTCCCTTTTATGGTTAAGCTGACTACATTTTAGAAAACTTTATTATTATTTTAAATTATTCATTAAGTTAGTATGATTCAAAAATAGTTATTCTGATTATTTTATTATCTATTTTGTATACTTATGATCAGTGAATATAATTAATTAAATTAATATCTATAACTATATATGTTAATATAATTAATCAAAAAAAACTTTGGAGCACAATATTTAGCGATAAACGCTACTCCAACGCAACATTGAAGAGACTCTTAGTATAACTTATAAAAACTCGCAAAATTATTGGTTTGAAATAAAATATTAATTCTTGGATGGAAAATGATAAATACCATTGTTCTGAAAATCGGACCGGACCGGCCAGTTCAACCGGTTAGACCGGGAACCGGTCGGAACACCGGTCCGGTTTGGCATATTAAACCGCTGGACAAAAAACCGGTCAAGAACCGATCGAACCGGTCAAAATTCGGTAAACCGGTAGCGGTTCAACCGGTTCAGCGGTTGTCAATTTTAGACGTTTTTTGACAAATAATAAAAGTCTCTGTCTATTGCATAACAACATTGTGCGTGTGGTTCAGTGGCAAGGTAAGTGCTTGGATTGGATAAAGTGCCGTGTTTGATTCATTATTTTTGATTACTTAATGTTGTCATTGAGTCATTGTTTGTTTACTCAATTTTGTCATTGTAAATGCACAACCCAATGTAACTCATGATTTTTTTTTTTAATTTTAATCAAAATCAAAGCTCAAAATTGATTTTTGATTTTTATTCTTTACATACTGAAAACTAAAAATAAAAATAAAATTCAAATTCAAATTAAAAAATTAAAATACAAATTACAAACCAATGCTAAACTACAAATATGGTATTGATTATTGAACTCTTATTTAGAGAAATGTCATTATACATTAAAAAATTAATGATAAAAATATATATAATTATATATTTTACATATAAAATAAATAAAAAATTATATATATTAATTAAACCGGTTCGACCGGTTCGACCACTGGTCCGAGCAGTGAACCATTGAACCAATAGTTTAACCGGTTCGATGACCGGTCCGGTTTTCAGAACATTGATAAATACATAAATGAATATAGTTTATGAAGTTATTGTTGGGAAGCATTTCGAATTTCAAAATCTACACAAAGCTTTTATAACAAAATTTAAATACAAATTCAAATATAAAGGGACATAAAAAAGTCGTCCAATTATCCCCCTTTATCCGAGCAAAAAACACGGAACTGAAACGTCGTCGTCAGGTTCAAATTCAAACCCTAATAAAGCAATTAAACCGTGAATCCATAATAAACTATTCAAAATGAGTAAATTCTACTCACTATCCGTTACAATTACAACTTTCCTTTTCTTTCCTTTCAAACTTTCAAATTTAAAAAATCAACACGACGCTCCACTTTATTAAATCAAACAACCTCCCTTTCGAAATTCGTGAAATCCAAATCGCTGTTTGGTGTTTTTTTTTGTTTCGTTTTCCTCTAACACTGTCTTCACACAGCAAATAGAGTCCGAAGATCCTCAGACAACATTTCTTGAAAACCAGCAAATATTCATCAGTCTTTGTTTTTATTTTAAGGAAGAAAAAAAATTATTTTTTGGGAACTTTATGTACAGATGGGAGCTTCGGGGAAATGGATTAAGACGCTGATCAGTCTCAAAAAGCCCTCCTCTGTCAATGAACCTGTAAGAGAAAATATTTCTATTTTCTTATTTTTAGGCGTAATCTTTATTGATTTTTATTTCCTCTTTTGATTTAGGAAAAATTGGGCGGCAAGAGCAGAAAATGGAGGCTATGGAGGAGTGCTTCTGGAGGGATTACAACCACGAAAGGTGGCAAAAGTGGCGGAGATGAAACTGAGGGGTCGGAGGGTTCTGCTTACTTTTATGATGCTGAGATGGCGGCAGCCGTGGCAGCCTTGGCAAAAGCTTCACCAAAGGATTTCATGGTTGTCCGCCGAGAATGGGCTGCCGTCCGAATTCAGACCGTGTTTCGTGCTTTCTTGGTAATTTTGACACTTCCAGTCAAAATCTGTTCGTTTGTTTACTGCTAATGGGATCTGAAAAATTGATTGTTGTTTTTAATACATGTTATGTTAAATTGATAATGTGTTCACAAAAATTATTTTGAGGACAGAGTAATCTGACTTCTACTTGCCTGAAATATTGTGATGAATGATTAATTTAGATACATTAACAGGTCGAAATTTGCAGAGGGTAGTTTCCATAGTTATCCCTTGAATCACACTCACACTCACACTCGCACAGAGATATGTATTATAATCCAAAAAAAAAAAAAAAANCCAAAAAAAAAAAAAAAAATAGTGATGACTGACAAGGCTGTTCTTGGGATGTCGGTAATCAAAATTTACCCCAGAGTTAGTCGACTCACGTTTTTCTGTCAATGCGTGTGTTGTTTTCAGGCTAGAAGGGCGTTGAGGGCCTTGAAAGCTTTGGTAAGGCTGCAAGCCATAGTCCGTGGGCGTCTCGTGAGGAAACAAGCAGCCGTGACATTAAGGTGCATGCAGGCCCTTGTTCGGGCTCAAGCCCGTGTTCGGGCCCAATGCAGCCAATCATCTGCAGGAGGGGACTTCGAAAGTCTAAATCAAGTCGACCCTGTTAAGAAAGCTGAGGTTTTCGATTAATCGTTTGATATCAAAACATTTTTACATTTCTGGTTAGCAAAAAATGAAATTTACAAAAAAACACTAAAATTGATTACACAGAGTGGATGGTGTGATAGCCGTGGCACGGTGGAGCAAGTAATGTCCAAGTTACAGTTGAAGCAAAATGGAGCTCTCAAGAGAGAGAGAGCCATTGCCTATGCCCTTGCCCAACAAGTACTTATCTAATAACACTTAAATACTTACATAGATGTTCTTTCTATCAAATATAGCTTTCAGAGCTAATGAGCATAATTTCTTGAAATTTTAGCAGTTACGAAAAACCCCGATTTCATGCTCGAGACGTAACATGATGGGGACCCCAAACAGAATGGACAAGAACATAATCGGAGGCCTCAACTGGCTCGAACGTTGGATGGCAGCCAAGCCATGGGAGTCGAGGCTGATGGGAGAATTCCAATCAGACTCATTCCAAACAAAACATGAAAAACCGCGCTATACAAAAAACGGGTCTTTCTCAAAAGTTCCGATGAGCTGCCAGCTAATCCGCTCGTCATCCGACCCATCGAACGAGTCGGGTTACGACGAAAGCTCGACTTCGAATTCGTCGACCACGACTTCTGAAACTCCAACGAAGCCGAGCTATATGAAGTCGACTAGATCGATTAAGGCCAAGCAAAAGAGTGCTGTTGCTTCTTGTAATTTGTCGGGCAATCGTTCGGTTTTGGGGAGGTCGATGGAGGATTTGCCGCTCAATTGTAGAAAACCGAGCCCGCTTTCACAAAAAGGGAATAATGGCTTTGGTGCGAGGAGGAGCACGGATGTTGATCTCTATTGTGTCGACTTGTGTAGGGATTTGTACCCGACTACGAATGCGGGTCACTTTTATCACAAGTAATGGTGCCAATTGCATTTTGATTTGGATGATTTTTATGTAGTTTTTTTTGTGTTCAACAGCTTGTTGTTCCTAGTTGTGTTCTACTTATACTTTTGTGTTGAGTTTAGTTGGGATTTCATCACATTTGCTTCTTCTTGGTTTTTGTTTTGTTGTTATATGTTGTTGGCTTTGAGAGTATAGGGAAACGGATAGAAGGAGAATTGGGATAAGTGTGCATTTGTTTTGAATGCTAATTGTGTTAATTGTGGCGTGAGTTTGGCTTGTTTGTGAACTTTTACAATTCGTAGTTTGCTGTTTCTCAGGAGAACTGGGCGAACGTTAATGTTTTGTTCCGAAAATGAAATTTATTAACTAGAAACTACAAGAAATCAATATAATTTATGGTTTTAACTTTGGTATCACGCGTTGATCTCATAACCTCCTAAAATTTCTTCTGTCTATAATCGGCACGGGTTGGGATTCAACATCGTGAGCTCGACAAAGCCGTCAATTCCTCTTCAACCAGGTTCAACTTGGCGAGCTCCTTGTCCTCCATCTTCATTCTCATTCTTATCAAAATATTTCTTTTCCCAATTGCTTCTCGGTGGTGCCGAAAGATTCTTCATCAAGTCGTCATCATTCTCAAGACACAACTCTCGTTTCTTAAATTTCCATGAGTCAAAACTCACATTTTCCTTCATACCCGTCGAGGCACCTCTCGATTTAGCGGCATCTACCTTCATACCCGGTTTCGACTCCTTTTCTAATTCCCCAACATCCTCCTTCAAATCCTCCAATTTCACTCCAAAATCTTCCTTGCCTTTCTTTCCCAACTCCAACACCTTCTTCTTTGACGATTGAAACTAAGACACGGAGATTGAAGATCAGATTGCGCTTTGTCGATATCATCCAAAAACGAGCATTGGGTAACTTTGGGTGGAGCTTCCTGGACATTGTTCATTGTAAATGTGAACGTCTCTCCAAGAGTCGAGAGGGTAACTCGGTAGCCCTTGACGTCAATAAGTGTGTTGGTCGTTGCCATGAAGGGTCGCCCAAGCAAAATCGTGTGTTCATTCCCAGTGTTCGGGACATTTGGACAACAAAATCCACCGGTACTACAATAGACCCAACCTTGACCAATACATCTTCAATAATGCCCTTCGGATCCCTCAACGTTCTATCCGCAAGTTATAGGCTCATCCGTGTCGGCTTAAGACCTTGCAACCCCAATTATTTGTAAATCGAATAGGACATAAGATTGATACCGGCCTCCAAATCAAGCATCCCGATCATCGCCTTTCAATTTTTCAAATGTGATTTTAATGATAACGCCTCTCGGATTGCACTCTTTCCAAAAATCATTCATTTTTGGGATCTCAAAAAAAAAAAAATTGATAATTAAAAATATGTGAATGAACGAACAATGAATTTTATAAAAAAATATGAAGTAATAATTGATTTTGTTATATAATTGTAATAATAAAGGTTGGGAGAAAAAGTGCAAATCATATGAATAGTGAACTTTTTGAATAAGAAAAAAAAAAACATGTACACAATACAACGGAAAATATATATATCCGGCGTCACAAACCAAAAATATTTTGTGTCCAATAGCTCTAGCTTGATCTAAGTAATTCAATGGCGAAAACACTACCACAAAAGAAAAGGAGAAACAATATCATGGGCATCTAAACTCCATCACATATATGAGGGTAAAAGCTTGAAGAAACAAAGTGTAGGCATTACACATTACAAAATTAATCAAAATTCTGAAAAGTGTTCACTGAACAACGGTCAATGCTTAAACAAGTTCTCCCCCTAAAATGCATCTGCTATTTGGATCAAATCAAGTCGATACTTGAACTTGACATCACACAGAAGCTCACTAGAAATGGGGTGGTTGTTAAGCCGTGATTCTAGAACGGCCCTTGGCAATTCTCCTTGCTATCACTCTTCGGCCTCCCTTTGTAGATTTTCTGTTCAGGATAAGAGAAAGCGCATGTTTCAGGCACNCATACAGACACACAAAAAAAAAAAAAGGAAAGGCTTTACAAGTAAAATATCAGAGTGTGAGTTTGGAGGATGAAGGTTTAACTTTCAACTAAAATAAATTACAAAAATTACCCATGCCTTGTAGCCAAGTTATAAAAATAAATAATTAAAATTTATGTTTTAAGATTATATATAACACATAAACTGTTGGGTATTGTATATATTTTACAAACACCCACCTCACTAAGGGGCAACATGCAATCAAAAACAACTTCAATGTTGTCCAATTAATTAAGAAAGATCTGTGCATAACAATTTTTATATTAAGCCAAACCTTATATGTATTTGTTTTTATTGTTTTTGGGTAATTAAACGTCTAAAACAGGACACGTGGAGTAACGCAAACATGAAACTGATGGAAGATCCACAGAAATGAACAGCGCAGACATTCAGTAACATTTCATAATTACATGCCCAAAGCAAGTAGTTCATAAATTCTTAACATAAAGTTATTTGAAAGAAAAATAAACAAATGATTACCCATTGCAACCATTCAATAATAGGAAACGTAAAAGAGACCAGACGCCATATGACCATGCAATAGAGCACTTATGGGTGGGTCTGTGTGCACGTGCACAAAAGGCGCACAATATATTTTTATGTGTGTGCATGAATGAGCGCGTTAGTGCATGTGCGTGTGACAATAGAAAGAGAGAGTGGGGCCCACCTAGCAAAGAATCCATGTGTTCTTTTGCGCCGGATGTTGCTTGGTTGGTAGGTCCTCTTTGGAAATAAATGCATAGGCATGCTCGATGATGACTCATCTACTGCAATGAGTCCGGCAAAAAAAAAACATTATTGCAAAGTAGTAAGTGATACGAAAGAAAGACTGCCAACTCAATTAAACTACAACAGCTTCCAAATCAATAGGCATAGATGATGAACTAAGATTTAACTAACATGACAACATCAAGAAGGAGTACCGACAAAAAATTCGGCGATACATGCCGATGACATAAAAATTGTCTAAACTCGACGTACCCTATAAATCACAACCAACTATTGTAGCTATATCTATGACCCCACATTCTTGTTGTCAATTGACATTGTTCACCAACGACAACTTCGTGTCAAATAAAGCACGACATAACCTCCTTGTTGGTACAATATTTTGACAGCATTGTTTTCATGATATACAGTTTTAAAATTCAGTAACATTTTCACATTTACATTATTTTTACTTTCATACATAAGCTACTATGTTCTGGATTTACCCAGAGTTTCAATTATTTACTGATGTTTCAGTTTCAAATACAGCAATACACATAGAAAGAAATAACACATTCCAACAGCAAAGGCGACCAAAAAGTATACTCATCAAATGAGTTACTTTAACACTGACCATCAAGCATGTAAGAAAGAGCACATCCCAACAGCAATGGCGAGTTGGCGACCCGTAAGTATAGTCATCAAATGGGTTACTTTAACACTGAGTGATTAGGATAGCTTGTGGCGCTTTAAACCGTGTCAGTTATGAACAAATATTTAGACTACAGTGCCTCTTCACCCAGGTCCTGCTTAGCAACGTGGGACTTGAGCATTTTCACTCGGTTGGATAATTATGAACAATGCAAGCTAAGCAAGTAATCCAGCCTAAGCCTCTACTTACTCAATTGGGATTCTAAATCAAGAAGATGAAGTCATTAAATCAGGAATGACAGAGGGCTCATAAAGCAACCAGCTTCCCAAACAATGGCATCAGATTTTAGTCCAGGGAAAATGTCTGCCCGTGGGGAAAAGGAAAAAACGTAAAGTTTTCGATGCACCTGAAACCCCCAAGACTAGCACTCCAATTCAGTTTAGAAAGGGATTGGAGGATTATCATATAATCATTCAAAAAAAAGGTAATTACACGTGTCTAAATCAAACAAAAACTCACAGTCTACAGAATATGAAACCAATCAGGGGACCTAAACAGAAGACTATAACAGGGAATTCAAGTGCATAGACATTCCGGTTGTATCACACATAAACTAGACGAATGTTCCAGATTGTGGAGCTTAAATAACCACAACGAAAACATAGTCGAGCTAACAAACTCTCCGGAGTTCACGTTTCCAGAAAAATGAAGGAAAAAGTTGAACCAGAGATTGCGAATTAACCTTCGGGCAGGAAGAAGGGGAGATAAGGAAGGCCGGAAGGGTAGAGGAAACCCTCGGACGAGAGCTTTCTGACCGGTTCGACGTCATCTTGATGCAACGGCTTCGTCTTGTGAGACTGAGGAATGAAGAGAACGGGCGAAATTGTCCTGGGGACGATCAATTGGGGACTCTGAGATAAGATATGAATGGGGTTGGTGCGGGCTGTTTGGTTGAGGAAACGGTTCATCAGCGAAGCTCCGGCGCGGATAAAGGTTTTGGAGGACGCCATTTTTGCGATATCGGAGTTCGGAGGAGATTGAGATACTATGTTAAACCCTAGAGATGGCAACGTTGTGATTTTTATTTTTCTTTTTCTTTTTCTTTTTCTTTTTTTTTTGTGAAATTACAAGCGGAGTAATACTAAACAGTAAAATTGAAGCTTAGAAAATTGAAGGTTAGAAACTGAGAATGAAGTTTGCATTTTAATTATTTAAAATTTAAACTATTAATATTTATTATTTACGGGTACTGTCTAGAATTTTAATCACTTTCAAAATTAAATTAACTCAGTACATCAATAAAATAAAAATTGAAAGAAAAAATATTATTGGCTTTTGTTTAAGAAAAAAAAAGCATGTCTTGCTATTGGTGTTCATTTTCATTCAGTAATCCATTATTTTTTAAAATAATTTGTAGCTTTCATTAGAAAATAATACAAAAAATAATAATGAAATTTGGATTTTATTTATTTATTTATTTTGATGGTCTAAGTTTAATCTTGAATTTTAAAATCCAAGTCTATACGTAAAAAAATTTCGAAAATCAAAAACTTTTTTAAAAACTTTCAAATTTTAAACCTTAATTTGCCTTGTTTGGTAAATGGCTTTTTGGCCAACTTTTAGCGTTTTGAGCAATATTAGCGGTTTGACCAAATTAAAACCGCTAAAATATGTGTTTGGTTAGATAACTTTTTAAGTTAGCGGATTGCATAAAAACGCTAAAATTGAAACCGCTCCTATTCAGAGCGTTTTGGAAGATGAATGGCTTTTTTTGGCTGAATGGGTCTAATTAAGGGGTTTTCTATGTAGTGGGGTAAGACAATTGTATAAATAAAAAAGAAATGAAGTGAGATGAATGAAAAAAAAAAAAAAATCTCACTAAAAGATGTTTAATAAGTTATGTACAGTCACGTTTAATAAAAAATGTTTGATTGACTAATTTGTTATTTTAGAAATTATGTACAATTACTTGTCATTTTTTTTATTTCAAAGTATTATGAAAATAAATTTATCCTAGATAAATAAAATATTAAATTATATTAATAAACTTCCAAGTAATCATATACACAAATAATTAAAAATAACTAATTTTATCAAATAGTATTTTACAAATCGTTAACACAATCAGCCGGTCAAACAAGCTAACGTAATCCGCTGGTCAAAACAGCTAATAGAATCCGCTAACAGCTAACCGCCAATTACCAAACAAGGCCAGGCCCCGTTTGGTAGATAGCGGATTGAAGATAAATTAGCGGATTGGACTTAATTGATAGGTTTGACCCGTCAAATCCGCTATTGAGCTTGTTTGATAAATAGCTTATTTGATAAGTTTTTTGGGCTCAAAATTCTAATTTAGAAAAAACTTATTAGAGCAGCTTTTTGGGATTGAGGATTCACAATTGAAAGGTTTTATTTAGAACTTTTTAAATTGTCTTATTTATTTTACAATCTACATTGGTTTATAGAGCTAATAAATAATAATATGTCATCCATATGATTAATTTATCTAGAAAAATGTAAAATTCATAACTTCTTCATCAAGTGTTAGTAAATTTAAAAAAAATATATATATATTTATAAATTATCAGCTAAAGAATATTAAATGCTTTAATATATTATTATTAAAAGAATACACTCTAAATAATAAAATGTCCTTATTGGTCATTTTGCAATGTCAAACAGCTATAAGCTTTCAGCTATTTACCAAACACTTAGTAAAATTCTGGCTTTGGAGTGGAATTTTTTCCCATTAGCTTTAGGTAAGGCGAAAAGCTACTTNAAATTAGTTTTGTGAGAACCATATTGGTGCTATTTTTTTTTTTATTTTTTTTTTGGTACAACATATTGGTGCTATTTTTAACCATTTATTATATCATTTTTAATATATCATTTTCACAAATGCTAATATAAATTGTATTATATTATTAATAAAATACGATTAAAAATTACACTAAAACACAATAAATCAAAGCACTATGCAGAATTAAAATTAGTCGTTCTCACGTGACTTGGTTCTCATTTGAGCCACATCTTTATAATAAAATTGTGCTAAGTATATGTTGTATAAATTTTATGTCATCCTAAAAATCTCAAATAACTCGATGCCATCATAAGAATCTCAAATAAAGACAAAGTTGAGAGAATTATTGCATCATCAATACCAAAAGTTGAAAAAGAACAATAAAGGGAATGCTTTTGAACAAAACTTCAATTTCATTATTTTCCCAATATTCTGTACCACTGTTAGCAATGTGAAAAGGTGAACAAATTTGACTCAACAGATAGAAAGTACCAAATGAAAAGAAAATCTTCACTAATAAGTTGGGCCAACCATCTGAACTATTTTTCCAGTTTCCCTTTCAGTGCTTCAATAACCGCCGAGAAGTCCTCGTCACTTAATCCGCGCAATTTCGCAACTTTATACAGCTCATTTGCAGCAGCAGCAATCGGTATTGGCTGACAAACTGACTCGGCTAACCCTAGAGCCAGCCGAATGTCCTAAAAGTTAAAAATACAAAACAAATTCAGTCAAAGAATAATTTAAGATTATACAAACTGCCTTGAAATTTAGTTTACTCAAAACATATACTCCAGTTATTTCTAAAAACACAACTACCCTCTAAGATATTACAAATACCTTGAGCTGTCAAATTAAGATCGAGCTGATTTTAAGGTCCGTGCATAATTTTGGCCATGATGGTGCGAATCTACAATGTATTTTCGAATCGTGTACAAATTATAGAAGTGAAGGTGAATTGAGGTACTTTTTGGGATGAGCGCCTAAATTGCCACCTAAATTATTACAATTTCTAAAGGAGGTATTTTGTAAAACATTTGGAAGTTTGAAGGATAACTGGGTTATGAGAGTTTTGTACCTTCTGCTGATGCTTTAGTGGAAATGCTGTGGGGTAAAGGGATTGAACCATTGAAGGCCCTTTCATGGAGTACATTGGTGCACTTATGGCGCCTTGCGAAATAACCTNAATATCTTGGTCAATAATTCTTTTAAACTAACAATAGTAAAACAAAACTACAAAATTTAGCCTTTGTTACAGAATATAAAATAATAATAACTCTTAAAACTTCGATATATTTTTTTCCTTTCCTGTTGAAAAAAGACACTTGTATATAATTTTGAAGAGATTAATTTTGGATGTATATACTATATAGTATATACCTCAACAAGAACACTGGGATCAAGACCTACTTTCTCACTAAGTAGCAACCCTTCGGAAAACGATGCCATCATACTGCCAATTTTCGGAATGCATAAAAAGAGGAATTCAGAAATCATTTATAGAAATATGAAAAAAATTGAAAAATGAAGTCATTGAAGGAAGAAGAAAACCATGGAACCTTCCCATAATCATATTAACTACGAGTTTCATTGCAGCTCCATTGCCAACATCTCCAAGGTAAAATCTCGACTAGAACAATTGGGAAAAATGAATAAGAAAGAAAATCAGGATCATATCTAAAAGAAGAGAATTAAATTGGAAGAATCACCTTTCCCATGATGTCTAAAAGTGGGCCACAAATATCATAGAGAGATTTATCACCTGAAATTGTAGCAGGAAGAAAGTTTATTTTAGGAAAAATTATAAAACAACCCCTGAATTTTAGCTTTATTTAAAACTATAAACATAAAGTTAATCTCTCCAAATAATGAACACAACTGCTTACTGATCACACAAGTTATTATGAAATTAAGAAGACAAAGAAGCATCAAAAAACATGTTTATTTTTTCAGATTAGAATAAAAACATCTCCTGGGATGAGGATAGAAAAACATGAAGAGGAACATTACAATTGGAGAATATAACTTTTACCAGCGGTGAGAAAAATTAACTGCCCATCTTCAGCTGGCTTTTTGGAACCTGAAACTGGAGCCTGCTTGGACAACAGAAAAATGTCTTCATCATTTTATAAAATTTTAACTTTTATAAAGATAAATGCTTCCATGTGTTTCTGAAAAAGTGCTCTGAAATGTCTTTGTTATTCTTATTTTTTTTTTAATTCGTGTAAAGATAAATGCTTCCATGTGTTTTTCACTTTCTTGCTGAGATAAAACCTCAGAGACTAACCTCCAGAAAAAGTGCTCCGGTTGATTTGATATGTGAGCTGATCAATTTGGAAGTGGCTCCATCAACAGTAGAGACATCTACATAACTATAAATTGCATGTTTAGACATTCAAATTATATGTTACCGCAAAACTCTTATTAACAAATAAAATGCTCGGAGTTAAGCTGGAAAAATGCTTTGTTCATGAACTAAAAATTCTTCCATGGAGTTCCAACTTAAATCTGGTCAAAACATCACTTTTGAGTTAAGCCTCACTACAAAATGCTCCATTTATATTTCAGAACCACGAATATCTCTAAGATACCTAGCTCATGCAAGAAATTTACTTCGAATTTCAATAGAGTTTGCCGCTAGTTAACATACAATTTATCAAAAATAAAATCGAGAAAACCTACTAAATTTTTCTTTCATAAGAAAAAAAGGAAACTTTTACCCTTTTCCCGAGCTCATACCACCTGCAGCTCCATTCTTTCCAAATGCGACGTCAACCTGGAAAAAGAAAAAGAATAAAAGATGAAAAAAGAAAACAAATGGAACTCGACAAGCTGAGACTACTAGGATAAAGGCAATTATAATCACCAAAAACATTATATACTCACTGCACTTTCAGGATCTGCAAGCATCGCAAATGTGACATCACAAGAGGCAGCTACTTCCTCAGGTGAGGATTTATACCTGCATTACAAAACGCTGTTTAAAAAAATAAGGGGAAGAAAGAATATGCTAAACTCGGAAAAAATTAGACTGATAATCACAACAAAAATAAAATTCAGAAAATTTACTAAATAGCACATCAAGTCGAGCAATGTGAGCTATGAAAGTACATTTAAGTGTTTAATAGTTACTACTAACTCGATCAAGGCCTGCCAAGAATTGGTAAAATTCCAATTGAAGAATTATAGGCATGAAAACAAAGCACTGAAATTCAATTATGAAAGAATACTACAGTCTTAAGTACTTCAGAAAGTCAATGTTAGCACCAGAAAACAAAAGCTGTAAATTCTTAATTATTAACCAAACTAATAAAAAAATGTTCATATAAGTTTAGAGTGCACTTACTTTGCACCCAAGGAGATAAGGGGATCACATTTGCTTTTGGTCCTATTCCAAACAGTAACATCACATCTACAACACAAAATCGACAGTGACGAGTTATCAATCAGAAGAGGAATTTAATATTAAATTTTGACGAAAAAAACGATAAAGAATAAGAATTTACAAACTTATTATATTTGTGAAGAAACAGTTTTCATATTACTGGAACCATCCAACAGACAATTCTACAAAGATTTTTGTTCAAGATTCATCTATCACTGCATAAGTCAAATCTCTCACTTCCTAAAGTTAAAATCGCCATCGAAGTTTTTACGCATTGCCAGTAGGATATTATTCCCCATTGAGGACTCTAAAAGCAATAGGCCATTAAAACACTGCTGAAAACAACAATTGAGTCCCAGAATTTGTGAATGTGGCATATTAACCACAATGGCTAAATAAATATAACCCATACCCTGCTTTAATGAGATTTTGTGCCATTGGAGATCCCATAATTCCGAGACCCAGAAAGCCAATGCGAGCTGGAATCTCATCTGTTTTGCATACATAAGTTCATCGAAGTTTCATTGCAAGCCTTCTACATCACTATTCACGACTTTATAAAAAGCAAATATTCATATTCAAAGATTGCGAATTTTCCACTTCAGGTAATGTAGCTATTGATCATACTAGTTTACATGAAGCAAAAAGAAAATAAATTAAAAGGAAAGATAGATTTAACTGAATTTCAAGTGAACGATAATAGCAATTATAGCAACAATCTTATCTCAATAGCTGTGACTCTGCCAATTTCGTTATTGGAAAAAGAAAAAAAGAAAGAAACGGCAAGTAACCACAATCAAAGCCTCAAACAAAGGCAAGAATTTTGTGACAAAAACAAATTCCAAACAAAATTTTCACGTAGCTTCAATAGCAAACACTTCAATCACAAACATCACAATTTGATGCAAAAAAAATTACAGCAATTTTATAAGAATGTAACTGTGATAGAGCAAACCCTTCCAATTATCCTGCAGTAGCTCAGTAGTAAAATTGTAATAATGCGCTGATTTCACAGTTTGGACAGACTAAAGAAAACAAGGCAAAAGCAAAACCAATATTCGATAAGTATAGAACAAGAATAATAATTAAGGCCAAGCACCCAATCTGACGAACATCATACACACAATCCCAAAAAAGTTATAATCACCTGATAATGCAAAACCAGCACAGCAGTCAACACTAGTATAATTACAGAACAGAACAAAAATGCCATCAAACAAGAATGTGAATAAAAAGAAAAAAGCTAGTTACCCTTTTGAGGTGAACTTGAGATTTGAGAAGAAAAGGCTTTAACATGAACCGAAAATCTCGATTTAACGAGAACAGAAGCAATGGGTTTGGCTTTCAATGGAATTAACTTCTGAGGAGAAAAGCTTGAGCTTGAGCACGCGGCCATGACTATAGACAGAGAAAGTGCAGTGTTTGGTGTTGAGAAAAACTGGGGCACCGTTCAGGTAATGGTTAGTTGGTTACTACTACAGGCCTTAACCAATAACCATTAAAATCTTCGGCATTTATCCTTCTTCCTCATGGCATCTAATATTTTACTCTACATTAAATATATTATTTTTTTATTTATTTTTATTTCAAATAATTTAGTATATATAAATATATTTAATCATATATAAATATTTATTACCACATAAGTAAAAGTAGACCCAAAGTATTGCAGGTGCTCTAATAGACAGTTCTATTTTTAATTATTTTGTGATCTTGTGATCTTTGGCTAAATAGCAGTTTCAGCACTCCGAGTCTCTATATTGTATTTTTCTCCCCGCAGACTCACGCTAATTGACATTTTGCCCATGAGTAAATGTGAGCCTAATCCAATCAATTAACTATAAGACCAAGTCTCTTTTTTTTTTTTTTCTGAAACGGCAGATTTACTCAAATAAATAAAAGAGTCTTACAAACCGAAGAACCAACTGGCCTTAACTAAGGAATTACAAGGGAGAACCGATGGACACGGCCTCAAATACAACAAACATATCAAAATAACCCAAATTAAGACATGTTACCAAAGGCAAGTACAACCACTTGAGACCTTTGATAAGAGAAGCAAATCAAAAATCCAATAGAGAAATAATGGAGGATGTGGCGCAGGGTTGGAATGAGTTTTTGCGTTACTCCAACGTAAAAAGGGAGAGATAGCGTTGCAGTGGAGTAGCTCTTAAAAATATGTTTAATATTCTAAGGTACTGAAAGAATTATTATTTCATGAAAAAAGTTGAGACGTAGGCGAGAAAGGCTTGCTAACATTCGTGGAGAGTGTGAGCTATGGTATGGGAGTTGATAATCTTGATAAGACTTTAAGGCTCCGTTTGTTTTGAGGGATTTACTGAGGGATTTAAAATCCATAGATTTCAAATTTACATGTTCAAATGTTCATGCATGTTGGGATGATAATGGAAGTTGGAAGATTTCAAATTCATGCTACATGGTTTTTAGTCATTATTTTGAAGGATTTGAAATGACTTCTCAAACCTAGTCATTTGAAATACACTGTTTATCACCGTTGACGACCATGTCGTCCGCGATCATTTAGGTTCATCATCACTGTGAGTCAACACTATAAGTGCGAGCTAGACAATTTATTTATAATATTTTCAACACATCCATTAAAGGAGTGTGCAAGTAAAAAAATTTATATTTCAAAAATTTGGAAATCAAGGAATTTCAAATCCCTCAAAACAAACGGAGCCTAAAAGAATAGACATAGTGGGAGGGGTAGATTTGGTATTCAGCTCCCCTTCCACACACATTTGTAACTTGTGCGATTTCATTTGAACGAAAAAAAAAGTATCTATATCTTTATAATTGCTAGCCTAACATTTAATTTTTTCTAATAAATTTTACCTATTAAACAATAACTATATGACAAAATTTTCATACTCCAAAGCCGTTATTTTCTCTAATTATATCAATTTTGTCTATTTCGGAATATGTAACATTTAATATGAGATAATGTGTGAAGCAAGAGGTTTTAAATTAATTGATGATCCTCTCACTGGAGTCCCTACTTGATGTGTTTTTTCTTTTTCTTTTTTTTTTCAACCGACGAACACTTATATAAATAGAAAACTCGAACAGAGTACAGAGGGGATGTTGTTCATGTGTGATTTTACACCATATTTATTGAGTATTTAGAGCTTAGTCATTGCATTATTGGTGTACAAATCGCATATTTGTGCTTTAATTCTCTATTTGTTGGAAAGGTATTACACGTGCTTGTTTTGTAGATATTTTCACATATTTCTAGAGCTTGTGGCTATTGGAGGCGCATGGTGAGTACCTAGGACCCCCGAGATGATGATGGATTGATGCACGGATGAGAAAAATGGAAGAAACGAGTGAAACGGACAAGAACGAGTGTGATGGGATGTGACATGGACGGTGACACGGGCATCATGCCCGTGTCAGAGGTCGTGTCACGATAACAGGGGCATTCCGAGGCAATACACGTGACACGGGCTGCGACACGGACGGTGACACGGGCAGAATGGCCGTGTCACGCGCGCAGACTGCGTTTTATTTCTTGTCTATTTTGAATAGGAGAAGGGTTTTGGACATTATAAAAGGCATATTTACCCTATTTTGAGACGGAGAACGTGATTACGCAAGGAAGGGAGCTAGAGAACACACAAGAGAAGCAATTGAGAAGAAGAGAAGAACAACCACAAGCTTACTAGTTTTTCTTTTTCTCTTTTGAACTTATTTCCTCATGTTGATTTTGAATATGTCTATGTATTTGATTTCAAACATGAGTAGCTAAATTTCATTGATTCTAAGACATGGTAGTAGATTAATATGTTGGGATTTTGGATGATTTATCATAGTTGATTATTCTCTTTTGAACCCTATTCAAATATTTTGTTCTTATTTCATGTTTAGAACTTGATCAATTCTTTTACATGTTTGACGATATTGTTCATAATTCGAGAGATGAGTTCAATATTAGGTCTTTAATATTTGACACAATTTACTTGCTTGAATCGAGAGATTAGTAGGTCGTTGTGAGGATATTAGATCTTTTGTTCTAATTGGAGTTGAATTGCATGTGTTGAGTGGAGACGCTAATATATGTGATTTAATCTACGGTTTTATCGATCTCGAGAGGGACGATAGGCTAAAATTGCGATCATCTTATAGGGTAGATAAAGAAAATAGTTAGTTGTGATAAATTTGAAGGAACCCAACTGTTAATTGAACCCATAGTCTTAGAATCTACCATTCCCATATATTCTTCTTAAGTGTTTTTCTAGTTGTTTTCTTATTCTTGCTTTATTTGCGTTGATTTATTTCGTAGTTTAGTTAATCCATCTCATATTCGGTCATCTAAATAAAATCAACACTATCATAATCTAGTAATTGGTATAATAATTATTTGGTCTCTTGGGATACGACCTTGCTTGCCACATACTACGAGCGAAGCCGTACACTTGCGGTCGAGCTTTAAAAATATAGGCGAACAGATGTCAACTAACACCAAGGAACCAAATAACTGGACTTACCCTCTTGAAATTCCAGAGGAATCTAAGAGGTACAACTCCATCAAGGAACCAACTGCAAAAACAAAACGAAACTCCATAAAAGAGATAAAACCAGACGATCTGGACTAACACACGAAAAACAAATAAAAGCACACACCTAATATACAAATAAACTAAAAACCTCGCCTACACCTAACCGACCCAACGCCTGGCCACCCGAGACCGTACACGAGCAATAACATAGAGATCCAACAAAGCTGCAAATCGGAACCTCAAGCCAGAAAACTGCGGCTACTCGTGCCGCCTAGACGGATCTGATGAAGAGTCTGCTCTCAATTAGATCTGGACTTCGCAAAATCATTCACGCTGAGGAAGGAGGGGAGTCGCCGAACAAGCCACCAATGACCCACGCCGTGATGAGTTTCACCAAAAGAGTTGATTTCTTCTAAGTTCGATTTGTTATTCTAATTTCAAAATCAATTCTAAATTCTATCAGTGGCCATTTTAAAGATGAAAAGGCAAGGTACCCAAAGGGACTAACCCATAGAAAATGTAATTTAATAACCCTAGAACAACAGGCCCATATATCAGGTACTAATAAATATTTCATATTTTGTCACCTTGACATTTTTAAAGAAAAAAAATAAACTATTCACTCATTTAACATTTTCCTCATCAAATTCACATAAAATATGAGATTTGTAGATAGATAAATATGGACAAAAAATACTTAACAATTAAGTTGGCATGAGTTTTCGGAAAACTTTTTTTTTAAAAAAAAATCAAACGTTTTAATCGTTAAATCATTAACCGGATTTTTTAACCAAATTTACACGTTTGATCGAAAAAAATTAAGAAAATGATTGATCGAATTTTTTGGAAGCAAGATTTTCAGATTCTTTCTCATTATTGGTCAGATTCACCCGTAGCATTTAAGGAAATCATTGCCCATATTTTTAGGAATTAAGTTTACACAATATCGATCCTTCTCATTGATCAAATAACATTTTTTTTTTAAAAAAAAATTGAATTAGAATTTTCATTCAGCTGTCACTTCCAAAAACAAATACTAAGAATAGTAAATTTGAAAAATTTTATATGAAAATTTTAGTACTATTTCAAGTAAATCTCTATATATTATATATTAATAGATGTAAAAACTTATATATATAGATTTTGATATTTTAACTATACATAAATTTACAATAAGATATATTTGATTTTACACTTTTATATTTTGATTCAAATAAAAATTATTATTAAAACTATAAAAATGAAAAAAAAATATGTTTATACATTGTGCATGTCCAATAATTGGAATTCTCAAGCTAGTACAACGTAAAAAATATCAAAAAATACTATAAATAAGAAACGTCGTAAACAACAAAATTATTGTAATTTTTACTTGTTTAGCTAATATTATTTTTAATATTTTTTATTTGTACAAATTATTTAATCTATAATTATTTTTCTACATATTTTTCAATCCAACATAAAGAAGTAGTGTGGTCTAATTTATAGTTATAAAATATGTGGGGTAGTAATAAAAAACAGTAAAGATTGATATGAAAAAGAATATTTTGATAATATACTTTTGGGTTTGAAAATTTATTTTTTCAATTGAACAAAATTACTTTTTGATATAACAATTATTATAAAATGAGTTTAAAAATTAATTTTTCTGTTGGAGATTGACCTAAGGTATAGAGCACATCATTTTAAAGGTTATCTCTAGGGCTACCTATATTAGATTTTTTTTTTTTTTTTCTTCTCTCTTTTCTAAGTTCAGCTCCCCATTCATTTTTCTGTGACGGTGACGCGTTACCGGAAAGTTGAGCATATATTTGATTGTATTGGACTTTTCGATGGTTTCACACCTTAGAGCGACTAAGTCCATATATCGTGAGGCTTGGGTTGGGTCCCCACAATCATAGCTTCAAATGGATTGCAGATCTTCATGCTGATACATTATAATTTTTAATAATCATTTTCACACACATATTTTTATACATTTATTTACCTAATGTATTGTTGGTAATTAAATAATAAATAGTTCTAATAAATATTTACCAGGGAGTTGGAAGATAAATCAAGTATATATATTTTAACATTGTGCCAATTATTTGTGCACATTGATATAGCACACAGAATAGTTTGGTAGATCGGCCTGAGTGGTTAGTTTGAGTAAGACCTGAGCTCGGTGGACAAGTATGATTGGTTAGCTTGGGTATGGCCTGTCCAAGGGAGCTTTAGCTCTGCTACAGTGATCAACCTCGTCAGGGAACTCACGTATATAGCTCAAAGCACGGGTTGGCTTGAGTAGAGGGCTTGGAGGTCGGGCTCCTTCAGGAGCTCAAATAGAGAAGCAAACCTTATCATCTTGAGGTCGTAAATGTGGAGGTCGTGGTTACAACCTGATTATAGCCTAAGAAAGTAGCTCGGGCGCCAAAAATCCAATGATGGAAGGAGGCCGAGCAGATGGCTCGATAGCCATAAGTTCAAGGTTGGCAGAAGTCCGAGCAATTAGCTTGTGTGCCCAAAGTTTTGAAATGGCAGTAGGCCCGAACAGGTAGTTCGAGTGCTCAACATTTTAAGATGGCAGAACTCCAAGCAGATAAATCGAAGGCCACAAGTGCAAGGAAAGTACAAAGTTGGCCCAGGAGCCATCGACACGCAAGATGCAACAGAACTCCGAGGTAATAGACCGTGGGGCCTAGACGAGCTTAGGACCTCGACGCCATAGTGTTACGAGATAGACTTGGCCAAGAAATGATTGTTCTTCTCTTAGACAAGTCTTGTGCTAGTAAGCTCGTTTAGAGCTAGGGTGCTAGATGATATAACACCCAGAATAACTCGATGGACCGACCTGAGCGGTTAGTTCGGGTTTTGCCAGTCCAAGGGAGCTTTAGCTCGTTTTTTACAAATTAAAGATATATGGTATTAGTTAAATACCTATGATGATTTAAGAAGCATTCCTAAGCGATATCCAAGCAAGTTTTTGTATACTACACAACAATTCTGAATGGCTAGACTCCTTGGTTATTAAGGAAGCCTTTTGTCTTGGGGAGTAAGTCATTAAATATCTAATAAATAAGGGATTCAAGTTCAATTTCTAAATCAATGCTCTGAATAAGTTTCTTAATTACTGTACGTTTGAGAATAAGATTTATGACTTTAGTGTCAGAGTGTCTACGTCGGGGCCGCCCACGTGTGGTGTGGATGGGTGTGTGAGTGAGTAACTACCAATCTGCCCTTGCTTAGAGGTCAAATGTATACATTTGACCACGAAATGTACACTTATATTTAAGAAATTATCACTGTATGTTTGATTGTCGTATTTAAAATTAGACTTGATCATGATCATTTGTATGATGAATCTAATGATAGACAATTATTCTTAACTTTTCACTTTTTACCATTCTATCCTAATTCTATATATATCGATGTTGTTTAACAAGTGTTGTACTACTAAATTAGTTATAACCCGATCAGACTTCTGTTGTTGAAATTAAAAGAAAAAAAGAAACAAAAAACAAAATAATCACATATGTATTTATTTTTAGAGAAATGCTATAAATACATAATACTGTATATAGAGCTGTACAAATTGTCCCAAATTCAAATTCCTCACCGACACCGCACCACATAATTTCATGCCCTCCACCAATAAGTACCAGAAAATAAATTCCATGCACATCGACATGAGTCGTGAATTTACATTCATTAAATGCCAGCAATTTTCCTACTTGATTTTTTATTATATATTCAGCTGGAAATTAAACATCATTCAAAGGATTATATTACAACTTATATTCAATGATGTTCTGTTTAATTTTGAGGTCAAGATTTCGTCTGAGCTCCTCCACATCGATGTGCTGAAATCGGAATATCCCTCAAATCAATATAAAACTACCAAAGATGTCATTGATATTTTCAGAAATGCAAACAATATTTTAAAAGATTATTAATTTCTATCTCTACTAGTCAAATGTTGTGCAACGATAAAATCTTTAATCGTGTTCAGCTTAGTTGTTACGGGAATAAAAATAATATACTCTATCAATCAAATAAAATAAGCTAAACTAAATTGCTCCGTTCTAGTTTTACACTCACTAGAGGTGTTATTAGAGGTGTAGATGAGTCGAGCTAGATCACATAATTAAATGAGATCGACTCATTTATGAATATTAATATTGAGCTCGAAACTTAATTAACTTCAGCTTAATCAAGCAAATTATAAAAACAAAAAACATAAAAATCTCTATTTTCGGATCATAACTAATCGAATCCTATTTGACTCGTTAACTAAACATGTTTAGGATCCAATTTATTTATCAAATGGGTAAAACCCAGCCGAATAGCAAACAATTAAATTTATTTAAATGTACTACTGTATGTGTTCGTAATAATTACAACGCCAAACTATATATTAATTGTGCAATTAAAGGCGCTAACTTCTGCGCAAGACCACGAAAGTAAAGTCAACTGTCACGCAATTATTGAAGAAATTCAATTAAGAATTCTTAGATTAGAATTACATAGTTTTGATTCTCGCAATTATGGCGAGATTGTAGCTACATATTCTCACATCAATTAGAAACTTCTCAACAGATTTCAACCAGTATAGTGAACAGATATAAAATAATAAAAGGCGCAAAAATATAATTATGTAAAAACTAAAATTTCCGAAAAAAACCATATATGCCTAAATCTCCAGAAAAAAAACAAGGATACACCAAATTATATCAAATCAAACCCAATCAAAGAAAAAACTACAAATAAAAGGAGAAAATAAAAAAGAAATTTCGATTAATTTTCTTATATAAAAAAAAAATAAAAAATCCCACACCTTGTGCATAAATTTTCTTCAAAATGTCCATCTGATAATCTTAATTCTCGGATCAACCTTGCACTTCACATCTGAAATTGTTGCAACCGACGCCGTTCTACCGTTGGGGATCGACACCCTAAATCCATCGCAACTAACCCTAATTTCGAGCTTCTTCGTTTTGATGTTCCCAATTTTGGCTATCACTTTGGTATCCAACTCAATTTTGATCGGCAAGTTCCTGCTCCGCACGCTGGATCTCAGACGCGAAGTGTCGGTGTCGGCGCCGATCGGAGTGTTGGAGCTCGAAATCACCGTTCTCAAAGTCGTCACGTTCTTCTTGCCGTGCGTGAACGCCGGAAAAGCTCCGTCGGCGATGTCGACCTCGCCGGAGAGCACCCTCACCGAGATTTGTTCGTAGGAGAAGGCGATCTTGCTGTTCGGGTTGCGCGCGACGAGGGTAACGTTGAAGGCGGAGGTTATGGCGGTGTCGGTGAGGTTGAATCTGGAGAGACGGAGTGAGGCGACGGAGAACGATGGCCGGTGCGGGCGGTAGAGGATGTAGAACACGGCGCCGGCGATGGCCGCGAGCAGGAGGACGAGGAGGATCAGGAGCGTCGTCCAGAGGCAGCAGCAGCAGCAGCAGCTCCTGGTGTGGCGACGCCGCGGCGGCGGCTGCGGTCGGTACGGAAGACGCCCGGCGTTGTAGAGCTGCGCCTTGTTCGCCGGAAACGCCGGATTAGCTCCGCCATTCGCCGCGGCGGCGGATGGAAGGGGCGGACCGCCGTTCGCGGTCGGCTTCGTTGATGGGTACACTCTGTCTGTCATGTGTGGAGAGAGAGAGAAACAAATTGGTTGGTTAATTTAGAGAGAGAGAGAGAGAATGGCAGAGAGAGAGGGTTTTGGTCCTTTTGGAAGGAATATATGAGTGAAAAAGGACAAAAAAGAGTGATGAGGGAGAATGATGCTAACCCAATGCCTACTCACATAGCGACTGTTTTACAATAATATTACTATACCTCTTTCAAGCCAAAAGAAGAAAAATATTACAGCCATGTAAATTTTAGAAATAGTGACATTTTGCCTTCTCTCAAGAAAAAGAGAAAATAAAAATAAAAAGAGAGAGAAATATATAAAGGAAAAAATAATTATGTGTCATATAAAACATTAGATGCATAACACTCAATAAGTCAATTTATAATCAAGCTAAACTACAATATTATGGATACTGCTCATTTAATGCATATTAGTATTTATACATTAAGTAGATATATATAAAAGTTGTTTGTAAAATATTATAGGTACACTATAAATAAATATTTTATTATGTAACTAGTGTGTAGCCCGTGCGATGCACGGGTAAGTAATATTAAATAATAATTATAAATAAAGATGAGAATAAACAATATTAATTGATAATTATATATTAAGATGTGGGTAAATAATATTAAACAATATTATAAATTAAAGATGTGGGGTTACATGTGATACAATTTACTTATCTTGTATAAAAGAACATAAAAAATATATGTTTAGAATATTAATCACGCTATCACACGTCTATGCATTCAGAGATCCCAAAGACTCGTAAGATCCAACTCTTGCCTAGAGGAAAATACATGTGAATTCCATTGCTTATGCATCTAGTGCACCAAAAATTCTATGGAGCCATCAGATGATTTTCTTATGAAGTCATCCATCACTTGATGTATGGACACTGTCCAAATTGTATTTATTGTACAACACGTGTCAATACACTATTTATTTTCATATGAAAATAAATAGTGTATTTATTTGTGCCTTTCAAGCTTTCCTTCATATACATAAAAAATGTTGAGATCCATTAGGAGCCAACAAAATAGACATTGAGAATATCCAAAATCTACAATTAAAATCCATGAAAATGGTAAGATTGCAATTAAAACTTGTACCACAGTAAAATTTCAAATAATGTTCGCACATCTTGCACTTAGGCTAGCAGCAACATGGTTCGAAGAAAATATCCAAAAACTTTCCAAGGATAATTCACTGGGAACATCAAACATTTGAATCCTTTGTGTTCCAGCTAAGAATCCATTGGCCCTCGGAAACATTCGGCAACAGTGCCAAATCCAATCTTCTTATCACTCTCGCCAGGTAAAATAACAACTGCATGTTTTTCTTTCTTAAACTGAGATTGTAAGGGTACCATGGTATCACTTATGAGGGCTCATAACATTACCAAAATTTGTAATTCTTCTATGGAAGCCAATTTTGTCTGTGATTTTTAAATGATTTTTGTTAGAAAAAAACAGGTATGTAAATCAACAACATACACACAATTCATTCTCATACTTCATACCGATTACGATTTGTTTTTTTATTTTTTTATTTTTTTGTTCACTTTCATATCACAAATACACAATTCAAAGAAAACATTAAAAATTTATATAAACAAATTAAGCTATATATAAGTTTGAATAAATTCCTTAAAAAAAAAAAAATCATACCTTTGGTTGGTCCACTACCATGATCACAACAACAACTCTCTCTTTCGAGCTCCCTGTTGATCAGGCCAACAAAACTCTAATCTCAAAAAACTCCACTTCAACCACCTCTCACCACAGAAAAGGAGAAAAAAGAAAAGACTAATAAATTATTATGGAATATTTTTACAGAACAACATATATTAGTAGCAAGAATTNTTTTTTTTCACAAAACAGACGATTCATTATAATTCCCAGCCACAATTCCCACAAGCACATTAAAAATCAAACAACAGCAACAACATAAATAGAGACATAAATCCAAAAATCCTCCATCACAATCACAAGGATAATACCTGAAAACCAAACATTATTCTACTAAAATGAAACTATTGCTTAAAGGTCTACTTGATAGTCACCTCAATCATGAATCACCGCCAGACCTAATTCAATCGAGCATCGGCATCCGCATATGAACGCTCTCGGCGGTGTTCTTCGTCTTGATGGTGGCCCCATCCCCGCAGTTGTAGCCTGGGACGATTTTGTCCTCGGTTGTTTCCCAATTCTCAGAAACCGAGAAATTGTGGCGCAGGCCATTCAAGCCGTAGTGCTGAAGGGCGTGGTGTCGGTTCTTAGCAAGGGACCCAGCGACTGCAACGGGCGTAAACCTGAGCCGGAGAGGAGAGCGGACATTTTTTTCCTTTTCCTTTCTCTCTTCTGTTATTTTTTTTTTCATCGGCATGATTATTTGTTACTAAATATAAGATAGAATATTTCCTTTCAATCTTTAGGATTTGATTTTTTTTTTCAAATATTTTAAAATACATTTAGGCATGATTTTTTTTTAAATTTAAAATTAACAAATTCTATAATTTATGGTAGCATTAAATGTGCCAAATTTTTTAAAAATTAAAAATTTGAAAAAATATTCTAAAAACGGAATGCAATTAATGTTGGCCGATTTTTTGCTTACTATTTTTTATAAATGTTAATTCTTATTATACATATATATATATATATATCATGGAATAAATGACAAACCATTAAAAGACGAGATTATTAAATATTGTAATAATATGTAGTAACGACAAACAATTAGAAGATCGATGTAATATATTTTGCTATCCAATTTTTAGATAATTCTATCAATAGTTGTATTTATCGTATTCATGTTGAGCTATGGTTTTTTATGACTTGATTTGATTCGATTTGATTATCATAATTTCGTTATTCTATTTTGTTATTGACCTGTAGATTAAATGAAATATACAAATTGATATTATAAATACTGGCATATTAGATAACAAACACGTCTTTATGAACTCTATTAGATTACGTTTTTGTTGAATAAACTGTAAAAATTGGTTTTACTATGTACTAATATTCGATCATGTACATTTGCACATATTTAAATAAATTATTATAAGTTATTTGAATGCATATAATATTAAAATTATAAATTAATTAGATAATGATATTATATTTTAAACATAGGGTATTATAAGTTATATAATGCATATAATATTAAAGTTATAAGTTAGATAAAGGTATTATATTTTAAAATTTGATCATTGGTTAAAATAAATAGTACATAACGATTTAATTATATATGAATCACTATATTGATTGCATAAAATAAAATAAATAATGTATTTTTTGAAAGTTTAAGGGACTATGACTAATTAATTAATTAAAAAATATTAAATTTATTATAACATTTGCTTATGCGATTTTAAGTAATTTTACTATGTCATTACAAAATTAATTTATTTAAAAAGTAATCGCTTAAGCAGATAAAGAAATATTATATTGATTTTATAATAAATTACTCGAACAAAAAGTTTTTACAACATAATTTCTTATGTTTATGTAACTTTCACATATCATTTAGTGTAAAATATAATTATAATTGTAATAATAATTATTATATGATACAATTTCCAGAGCTGGTGAAATTATTTTGTATTGTTGTTGGTGTATTTGTCCATGTTGCGCATGTGCTGTATTTTTCATTTCACCATGATTAATTATTGTAGTGATATCATAAAAAACACTAGATATTCCAAATAAACATTTATAAAAAGTTTTTTTGAAAATTTATATTCTGAATGCATGCTTATGTAATCATGAGTTTCTATAATAAATAATTCGTTATTAAATTATCATAGTAATGCTTATATAAAAAAATAAAAAAGTAAACAGTTTTAGCTAATTAACCTAAATTGATATACTTAGATAAAATAGTGGTCATTAGTTTAGATTTTGTAGCTGTCCAAAATTGATGTATTTTGTAAAAGTAACGGTTATTATATTTGGAAAGTTTGTATTATTTATTAGTTAAAATTTATTAGGTTTTATTTATGAGGTAAAATTAAATGAAAGGCTAGCAATTATATATATATAGATATAAATTTTTATTTATTTTTCTCCGCTATTAATCAATTAAGGTTTAGTTCCACACTTCGACTTGATAGACCATTTTTTAAATAGCATAATAGACCATTTTAAACAATTTTTTTTTTTTGGTACAAAGAAGGAGGCCAAAGGCTTAAGCTAATATTTGCCGGGGATATGATACCCCAACGCAATCGTGATCAAGCCAATCTCCCAGTCCCACAGGAGGTAAAGAGAGTCGCTGTAGGCCAACCGGATAGGATGCCGCCAAGCTCGCCATGTGATCCGCTGCGAAATTCGCTTCTCTATGAACATGTTGGAGGCAGACACACCATTCTCTTTGGATTAGTTCTTTAATGGCTCTAACCATGGCCTCATGATTTCCGCAAAAACCATCCGCTTTGGAGACCATGTTCTTGACACATTGACTATCAATCTCAACGATAACTCGTCGAAGCCCCCGATCCCACGCCAATAGCAAACCCTGAAAAAGTCCCCAAAGCTCGGCTCCCGTGATAGTACAGGATCCAATATTCATAAGAAAGCCCTCAACCCATCGTCCCGTCTCATCTCGAATCAAACCGCCGGCACTACTCAGGCCCGTGAGCTTGTTAAATGCGCCATCCATTTTAAACAATTTAGATTATACTTTACCTCCAAAGGATTAAAAGCAAAGAAATTCATTGAGTGCTGTTTGAGTCTTGAGCAAATTTTAAACCTTTAAGCCAACACCTGGACCATTCTTGAATGTCTTGCGAAAAATAAATTTATTAATAAACAACCGCTCATCATATAAAAAAATATTGATTTTAGTGTAAAATATAATTTTATGTAACTTTCATATATTATTTCATATAAAATATAATTACTAATTTTAATATTAACTATTATATTATTTAATAAAAAATATAGTTATTAATTAATTAACATAAAATATAATAGTTTTTGTCTTAATTAACCCAAAAATAT